GGCAACAAGGGGAGTACCTTGAAACTGAGGAGATACGACAAAGGGGTTCTTTTTAGCGGTAAACGCGTAAACTTGTGTCTTCTGAGGATTAAACTGGACTAGATTTAGACGCCCCCAATCAGAGACTTTGTCCAGCAAAGACTCGACTTCAGACACAAGTTTGTTCCGGTACTCGGTGACGTTTTCCCGAGAAATATTGGCACGGCCGGTGTATAGAGCATCACCAGTGCTGTCATTCGCATAGCAATGAATGCTACCGGCTTGCAACATATCATTGATATGCAGAAGAAACAGCGTTGGTGATAGCACGCAGCCTTGTGGAACACCAGCGTTAATAGGCTTGTAGTCGGAGCATGCACCGTCTACAACGACCTTAATGCTCCGATCTGCAAGAAAGCTGGTGATCCAATTGCATAATTTCTCGGGAAGCCCATAGGAAGGGAGTTTCGAAAGAAGCGCTTTGTGCCAAACCCGATCGAAGGCCTTCGCAATGTCCAAACTAACGGCCAATGCCTCCCCCTTGGACTCTACTGCCAACGCCCATCTATGAGTTAAGTAGACCAGAAGATCACCAGCTGATCGACCCCGACGAAAACCGTACTGGCGGTCACTAATCAGCTGGTAATCCTCAAGGTACCGCATGAGGTGGCAGTTTACAACGGATTCCATTATTTTGGAGAACAAGGGAGTGATGGCGATAGGCCTCAGCGAGGGATTCTCCAGGGGTACTGGTACCCTCCTGGGGTAGTTTATGACGTAATTCCGCTACCATGTTGATGGGGGGGGGGAATTAGGCCTCCGGTCACCTGCACTCACCAGACGAAACGCGGAAGCAGAGCTTCCACTTCACGCCGGTATTCTGTGAGGTCGTGGTACTAACCCGGCTCGAGCCGGCCCATACGTGCAACAGCAAAAGCTGCTGCAAGGCTCTACCACCGTTAAAAAAAACACGGAGATATTACAAAAAAAAAACACGGAGAGACAATGTACAGCAGTGGACTTTTGATAGGCTGTAATAAACGAATGAATGAATCCAGAATTGTTCAATACGACGACAATTAAATAAAAGTTAAAGTTGCAGCCTATATACGAGTACGTACGTCCTGGGCTCATTTCTGAGAGGGTTTTAGGGCAGGGAAGTGTCCGCCGCGCTGCCCCAATGCGTGTTGTACTTGTACGTACTGGGCTCAATTCTAAGAGGGTTTTAGGGCACGGAAGTGTCCGCCGCGTTGCCCCAAATACGTGTTGGCGAACTTCACATATCTTCGAAATATTTTTCTTTTTTATCTCTCAGACATGCAGTTATATAGTACCGGCCTGGATCCGAGGTAGCTCAAGGGCTAACTGTTCGCTGTAAATTTAACAGTACGCGAGCAACCCGGATCAAGTGAATAAAATTATATATAAAACAACATTTAAAATAAGAATATAAAAACAAATGTTTGGTGTGTAATGTTACGTTTATGTATTATTATCGTTGAAACGTTATGCGTCCAAATTTTATCAACGTATAGCATTGCTGATATAATTAATTTAGCTGAATATTATTTTACCAGATGTTTGAGTACCTATATGTGTTTCCACTATACACTAAACACATTTTCATTTGCTAAAACAGATGCCCGTATTGATAAACACAAGCGTCATACGATCGAAAAATTCGTTATTAACTTCGTCATTAACTTACTAGGAAGTTATTGTAATGTGTTCGATTTTTCAAAGTCCAAACTTCGACGTCAACGTTCCCAGGTCTCTAAAGTCTGATGCTCTATGGTTTTTAAAAGGTTGTCCCGAACGTCTATCCCGAGATCAAGTAATAATATGGGTGTCAGAATGGTGACACTCAATGCACAAATATGTACCTTACTAGAACCTTATTTAGTTTAGAACAAAATCACTTTAGCATATTTTTGTTACGAATAAATTAACTAAAGAAATGGAAAGCTAACCGAATTTAACTTTGATATTTATGTGCTATTTAGTCAGGACAATTTTTATATGTAAAAAAGTGATTTTTTTTTTATAATTTTGTACTAAAAAAATAATATAACACGTTGTTTCCTACATTCCTAAATCCACATATTCATACATTGTCATCCAATTCGGAGCTATCCTCAAAATTTCAAGTCTCTAGCTAACGGGAAGTGCTCGAAATTTGAGTTGCAAGATTCCACTATAAACGTCAAACAGACAGACAGACAGACAAGACAGTGAGTTAATAACGTGGTAAAATTGAATGGTATTCCTACTTTCTATTTTTAACCAACGACGCAAAAAGAGGGGTGTTATAAGTTTCACCGCTACGTGTCTGTCTGTCTATCTGTGTGTCTGTCTGTGAATCGATTTGGGTGCGGTTTTTTTGTATGTGTATAGTGTATCCGTCCTAGGTCGTACTCATTTTATATTTAATTTAAATAACACAATCATTATCGATTTCATGATAGTTTTGTGTAGTTTCATTTTAAAATTGAGTACGTAGTCGACTTCTTATATTTACACGTATACTACACGGTAAGCAAAACTAATTTTACGGATTTTGTTGCGTTTGACTTATTTTACCTACTCAAGTTTCCCACGTTTTGCCAAGTCTGCTGTCTTTTAACATGTTGAAGATTGTCCCCGCCATTACATCAAATTAGAAAAATTACAAAACCTGACGAAAGCACACCGATTTATACGTAAGAAAGAACATCCAAATTTTAATAGCGAAGAGACTGGATGCTAACATCTACTTGGGATCCTATAATTAATAAATTATATCAAAACCCAAGCATGCCACTGCAAGACTTCAAGACACTGTCAGCTCGTTCTGCGTAGATCATATCAAAAATTAAAAAATATTTTGCCTTCTTTACCTTTATCGTCAAAAAAGTCGTTGGGAGAAATCCAAAAATCTTGAATCCCCAATGGAACTGATGTAGAATGAGCCAAAATTATCGTTATTGGGTTGTAATAATTTTATTTGTGCGTTCAATTGGTATGAAACATCGAATTATTTAGGTGTGGGGCTGACGACACGTTCCTAACACATGTTGTAAATACTATAGCATGATCTTGCACCGCTTTTAAAAAAATTGTACATCTCCTGTAGACTAGACCAAACAATATTGCCAAAATCTGGAGCGGCGTTTAAAGTATTTACGTAGTATGTAACTATTTATAAGAGTATGTAAGGTTTAGCAGTTATAATGAGTCCGATTTTTATTATATCCCAAAGTCCAAATTATGACATATCTCTACGTTCTAGTCTCTAATAGTCGGATGCTATATAAATGTATCTCCAGTACTGCAATTATGAATTCGCTTCCCAAGCGTGTTTTTTTTTTTTTATAGAACTGATGTGAAAAACGAACTTACAGATGCGTTGTTGTGAGGACTAAGAGAGAATGCCTTACAACCTATAATTATACTGGTCTCTATACCCCACAGACTGCAACACGATAGTAGTAAGCACGATAGATAAAGCAGTGCTATTTTGCGCGGCAGAAATGTGTAAGAAGCTGGTACCTACCCAGAGGACATCCTAGGTAGAGAAATAGTCCTAATACCTAGGAAATACTTTCTTTAGTTTACTGCAAACTTTAGGTATATGTCAAGAAATATATAATTTATACAACGGTGACAAACGAGCACACAGTGGTAAGTGTATACTATGAATAGAATAGAATGGAACAATTTTTATTCAATATAGATTATAGTACATTAATTGGTTCGCAAAAAAATCCTCTGTCCTGGTAAGAACCAGCAAGAAACCCAGCGGGACTTTTTTTTTAAAAGCACAATTTACAATATAATATTTTACACAATTCTTATGAAAACATTTAGAAACAGCCTGGTAACGATCACCTTATTCCCAGGAGTTATTATCAGTCATGCACTCGTTAGTAGTATAATAATCCTTACTAGACAATTTTTGCTTAATAAATAATTTAAACCTTTTGATAGAAAAGGTCTGCATATTTTCTGGGACTTTGTTGTAAAAGCGGTATACATTGCCACATGAAGGAATTACTAACCCTTTGGAGTCGAGCAACTAATATGGGCCATATACATATACATCAATCCTCGATGAAGAATCAATACTGAGATGGAGTGCCTCGTTTCCAGTAAAAAGGGTCTTCCTCCGGTTCTCTACACTCTCCATACGAAACACAGCAGCGTTAAGCTGCTATTTCACGCTAGTATTCTGTGAGAGCGTGGTCCTTCTAGCCGACCCATAGCTAGCTCTATCACGTCAAACATCTTTGATTGTTGACAAGCTTATCGTTATAAATCTACTGAGTGACTTCTTTTCCGTCAAGAAGTAAGCCCGATTTTCCGTCCGCCTGTTTTGTGTATATTAAGTTAAATAAATAAAAAATAAAGTTGACAGGCTATAATGCATTTTATCCGTCCTCGGGGATGATAACTGATCTGTTGCTTTCCTTGTTTGGAGATGGTTCTAATCAACCAAGGACTGCAGTAGTCACTTAAGATCACAAGACACATTTATTACTCGTACCTACCTATATTATCAAATACAATAATTGTGTTTATAGGTATAATATTACAATAATGATAATCTACAGAGCAAGCTAATCTAAAAGTATTTAAATTATGGCTAGCCTCTGTAGAGTTTATTGCTTCATCGTTCATCGACTACCTGGATGGCATTATCAGGTCGTACATCCTATCAGCTGGAAGTCTTCCTATAAAAATCGGTGGCAGTTAGGTAGGTATCAGGTTGTCATAAAAACAACTTTCTTTACAAACAGCTTATTGCAACAACACTTTACTGATCCGTTAGGTTATGAGGTTACTTTGGTCTGCTAAATGTACCTACTGGTTGCGTGAGAATATATCGTTACACACAGATTTCTTCATAATTGTAAAGATTTGCAGCAAGCAGGCCGTTTGTTGATTGTATTTACAAGATGTACGTAACAAATATACTCCGACAGTACTATTTAAAGGTGTCGTGCGTTAAACATTTTTTAATTTGTAGCAAACGGCTGACTAACCTGATATTCTATAATCGGGGTCAGCAGGCGTTGGTACGGGTCCAGGAGTAAGTTCAGGGCGTAGTTTTCGCAAGCCGGCCACCACTCGCGGCGCCGGCGATTGCTCTCCAACAAGCATCGCCTGCTTCACCACAACATTTCAAAAATAAACACTTCACAGCACAAAAACATCACTTTATTCACTAAAATCCTAATAAAGACAATGTCAATTCAACAATATATTACGTCAAAAAGACAGCAACGTTTTAAAATTCGAAATTATTCGTTACATATTGCGCGTAACGCATTTTGTCTTTCGTTCTCGAGTGTTCGTTATTAACTAAATCGTCCATCTATTTCACCAGCTGGTGTATCAATGAATGAATGAAGCGTGCGTGAGGTTGATTTGTGTCCCCACTACTCGAGTACGTACTACATTCATAATAAACAAACTCGACTTTGCCAAAGTGGCTTTCTTACTGTGCCATCTATTGGAGAGTAGTATGAACTACGTTAATTTAATTACACTTACCATAAAAGGGCAAATAAGGAAAATTTCTAGAATATCTACTCTCTGATAGATGGCAACACAACTTCTTATGCTATGTATATATTCACAATGTATCCAATAGAGGGCGCTATAATCTTCGTTTGACAAACGTAAAACGTTTTTTTTGTTTTGAGCGTAGGTTTTGTTTATTAATTCTAGATTCAAAAAGTCTAGAATTAATAAAAATGTTTGACTTTACTAAGTAGAACCTTGAAAAGTAAAACATTAACCTATACCTTATTACCTACTATTTTTTTTATTGTAAATAAATGTTTAAGTTAGATGCAAAATGAATGAATGCATCCAGAACGGCATCGGGTAAAAATAGTCATATCTGTGAGGCGTGTGTTACCTACTGCGATTGCCTATATGTCTAACAAGCCTCTTGTTTGAGAGAGGCCTCACAATAGATTACTAAAATCTGATGATGACGATCAACCACATGATAAAATTAATGTCTTGTAATAGATTCACTTCTTGATTGTAAGATAAAAACAGTAAATATTTATGCCAGAATTAATTAAGGACATCCGTGACATCTCTTATATTTATTGAAAGAATTTCATAGTAATAAAACATGATACTAGTATTTTCAAAAAATTCATTTCTGTGTGACATACATGTTATAAGCATATTTTATAGATGGCGTATTACAACTATACAATAATTTCTAAGCGTTAACAATAGATGTCACTAAAATATCTTAGTATTCCTTTTTACTGCTAGATGTCGCTACTCATATCAAATTAAAAGAAAAAGCTAATTTTTTGGTCATAATATGTATTACTTTCATTTATTTTAAAATAGGTTTTTGCACTGACTTGTATAACTCGATGTGTTTTTGTATTATTGTAAATAAACACACTTTCATTCCGCTTCTAGGCTTTTTAAATTACAGCAAGCAGCAAAAAAACTTGATGTTCTCAACACACATAATCGGATTTTGATAATTTAAGAGTTTCTTCGCGTTATACGGCTTGTGCTGTTTGCTCAGTACCTATATTATTAACAGATTAAAATAAGAATTGAATATTTGTACAGTCACCAGGATTCCCGAATACATAACATGTAGAAGTCACTTTTCTACCCACTTCAAAAAGCAGACGGTAATCAATACGACTGTATGTTAATTTCTTTCTTTTTTTTGTTGTGTGTTACCTCATAACTTTTTTTGGGTAAACCGATTTCGATGATTCTTTTTTTTTATTTGAAAGCTGGTGCTTCTCATGTGGTCCCATTAAATTTGATCAGGGTCTGACCAAGATTTTTGAGTTATTCTTAATAATTTATATTGAAGTCGGTTGTACAAAATTTTTAATTTTAAATTATCACTTATCGTGTAGTGGCTGGGTAAGATAATCCAACAGCACGTTTCACGTTTCAGTCACGTCGTAAAAGGCTACTGTTTTTAGATTTAGATTTTTTTTTAAATAAAAGATAGAGTAAACAAGCGTGTGGCTGAAGGTAAGTGTAGACAACTTGAACACTGGGGTATCTGCAGGTACGTAGCCAGCCTTTTAAAAAGGAGTAAGCTCATTTCTTGAAGAAAATGGCATAAAAAAACCTTATGGCTTCTGATAGATTGCGGTAAAACCATCTTATTTGTTTCAGACATAGGTACCTAGACCTGGGATAGGCACCAGCGTGAAAAGTGCGAGACGAGTTTTACTAAGATTGTCAACCAGCCCGTCAAGCGTAACGATTGAGGCATATCCACTCCTAAGTATGTGAGCCCACGTCCAGCAGCGTAAAACTTACTTTTTGCTCTCTTGATGAGGACGGTATAATGCAAACTTACTTTATTAATAGTACTTCTCCTCTTACACTACTGAATTGAATATGTTTAAGATTAACGCATAGGGGATCTATGTATATATATATATATCTTAACGTAACAAAAAATTAGCTTTCATCTGTGTGCAGTTAATAATATTTTCTAATTTCGAAAATTAAGACACCTTGCGAAGTTATTTTTTGTGTTTTAATTATGCATTAAAATTCTAAGTTATAAGCTTATCTTTTCCTATAAGCATGTTAATTTACATAATAATATTACAACGCGTGCATATACTCGTAACATGCTCAACACGATCAGTCCTCTTTTATTCTCGATATATTTAGCGATTTTTGATTTTATTTTCCTATATTTTGTTTAGTGCCAATGAACTCAAAATCATGGAAACTTGACTCGTTCGACCACTTGCTACTATAATTTATGAGTAAATCTAAAGCATTTGAAATTTCTAGTTGTTTGGGTAAAAATGTAAATTATTATTGTGTGGCATAGAATTCCTAGCTAAATTCAGACGATACTCCTTTTATACGTGGTAGGGCATGCTGCAGCTATATTTTGGTTGCGGCACGAATGGGGCTGCTGGACCGGGGAACCACCACTGCGTTTCGTATCATGAGTGTATACCCTTTTTACTAGATAGGGGGCATTTCATCTTAGTCCTCAGGGATAAAAACGCATCTACATTTTGAGTTTTAAGCGATGATAGATGGCTATGAAGCCATGCTATATACCCTTGTCATACCTACTTTAATTACAAAATAACTCTTGCTTCTACATTAGCGCTGATTATTATTTTGTGAATAAATATTTTCTAATTCCATCAACTTTATAAGATAACAATTTCAAAATTAAAGACTATGTAAATATTTTTTCTTTATTAAGTAGTTATTTGTTAGTAGTTTCACAGATAATAATATAAAATCACACAAATATAACAAACAGATTAAGATCATAAATAAGTCCTACTTAGGCACGGAGCAGTATTTAATCTATAAAGTCATACATTTAATAATTTTGAAGATCTGTAACTTTTATTTGTAATCTTATACTTTAAGGAAGACGAGATCAAATAAATGGCACATCATTTCAAAAATAGTAAGGCTTGTCCATGATAACACGATGTTTTTTTTTTAAATTAAATTAATAAGGCACATTACATAGAGTCTATCTTAAAATATAATACTAATAATATGAACTAAAACAAATTAAAGCTTTATCGTGGAAGAGATAATATCACAATGATTAAGTGACATCACACTAACGAGCGTTCACCAAGGGCGCCATTTATTAACGTCCAGCTCGAGTTCCGCCGGTGGTCCCTCTCGAAGGTGATCTTTTTTCTCTGCATAAAAAGCGTCCAGTTGACGTTTAGCCTCCTCTTGTTTTTTGTACTCCTGGTACTCGATAAGTTTCCTTTTCTTTTTAGGTGGTAAGTTGCTGTAATCCATCGGCGATTCGCAATGTTCCGGAAGAATAGCTTTCACATTGGATTTGCTCACGGCGGATGTCGGATCAAATTCATTAACGTTGCTGTACGTCGGAGAGTTTTTCAGCGAGTGGGTGACCTCGGGGGCTGAGTCAATGGGTGATTTAATCTTTCTCAAATCCAGGGTGTCGTTGTTGCCAGGATAATTGGATGTTGTATATGGGTACTCATATTCACCTCTGTATATTTCCTCTTTAGGTATATAGTTTGATTCAGGCTGCTCATTAAAGTCAGTGGTGACGTCATTGTTGCGCTTATCCATTATGTGTTGTCTAATTTTTTGTAGAATAACATCTTTAGCTTCGACTGGAACCCGATTAAAGTACCCATTCCTTTGTCCTGGTACGTGATCTTGAGGTGGGCTATGTTGAAGTTTGTCAACTGTAGTGAGCAAACCCGCCATTTGGTAGGACTTGTGTGGCGCTCTAGTGTTCTGTCTGTTGTATGCCCATTGTTTTGTAGCATTATCTCCAGAGTATACGGAATCTTCAGCATCAGAAGAAGATCGATCGTGGTCGCTGTAGTAGTGATGTCTGTCTGATATGAGCGAAGATGGTGAGGTTGGCGGTGAGAATGGCGGCCGATCAGGAACCTGTATTGTTAAAGGCTGAGCGGTAATCAGCCTTGACAAATGGTTGATCAAATTCTGGCTCACTTTTTCATCCAAGTCCGGCACGGACATGATAAACCTGCACGCCTCCGCCGCGCACTGTCCGAATCCCGCCTGAAACTTCTTTGCTTCCAACACCGGATCTTTAGGGCTGTGCAACTTTGTAAGATGGTTAACTGTCAACTCAAGGATATCTGCCTTTTCCAGCTTGCTTAGGTTGTCGTCGTCTATCTGTAAAATAATAAAACAATTGAAGACTGCAGGTGCAAAAGGTTCCCACGTTAAGCTAATGGTCACATCAATATAACTGTACGGACGGACAAGCGGATTATCCTGTTTATTCATGAACTGTAGGTACTTTTGTATTCCAGTTTTACGGCGCGTTCGTAAATGTCCGAGCAATAAGAAGGACGACCGGTCTGCGATAAAAATAAACGGCGTGTGAATGGAAAATGGATTGCAATTTGATGATCGATAAAACAACAACAATTAAACGGTGAATTTTACATATAATTAGATTATCTAACACGAGATATGTTAAATAAATAACTTAAGTTTCATTAAAAGAAGTTCAACTATTTGTACTTAAATATGGGATATATTTGTCATTAATCATGTAATATCGTTAAGTATTATTACTCTATATAATTCTTTATAAGCTAACTTATTTACGTACTCTTCATTTTCTTATCCTATTTATATAATAGGTAAAAATTTAAGAACGCAATATTTGAAAAGAAATTATGAAAATTTAAATAAAAAGTTTATAAAAATCATATTTAAAACAGAACCGCGAATTCAGTACACTTAATAGAAAGAAAGAAACTTCATTCGCGGCTACAAAACTACAGATATTAAAAAATATATTTTATTAAAATTGTATAATACATAAATTAAATAATATTATATTGGATCGCAGCAACGAAAATATACAGTGCTTATTCTGTTAGCGCAAGTTACTTATTCTGTATCGCAAGTAAGAAGACCTACGAGCAGTCATTAGGCATACTTGTACAATTATTCACAACCATGTATAATATAAAACCATGTAATAGAGTGTTAATTTAATACCTTAATACAGTTAATAATAATTAACTAATTATAAACAACACAATATTCTCACCTCCAACGCGCCAACCATGAGGTCCTTAAGTTCATCCAGGCATCGGTTAATACGCGCCCGCCGCTTCCTCTCTAGAAGCGGTTTCGTAATCTTCTTGTATTTCGCCGTCTTCGACAGCGGGGCAGGCTCCGATGACATTTTGTTAATATCTATTAAATAATGCATAAGAATGAATATTTTTATATTCCATTTAGAGATAAAATATTTGCATTTAAGTATTAAACACATGCTTAGTTAATAATCTAATGTTGTGGTTGTCGAAACGCTAATTTGGAATATATGAATAAAAATTTTGCTTGTGACTAGACATAGACAAGTGTATTATTTTTACTATATTTCCGAAATGTATGTTATGTAATGGGGTGACTAACCTTTTAAAAAACCGGGATCCAAATTACACAACGAAACAACTTTTAAATATTTTTGAACAATTTAAAAAGCTCGGTAGCCCGCCACCTCGGGACACCCGTCGCCACCCGTGGCCCGTAATGCACTGCCTGAAAAAAGCCTTTGCCCCGCGGCATCCTCCCCTCCCCCTCATGCACGGCTTACCACCCCCGCGCCCAGCGCCTTGGCCCATTCATAGCGAGAGCACGTGTGGCCAACCGATCGGGTTTCAAGCATGCGTAACATACTTTCCCAGGGTTCATAATGTTAAGGTTTTGTCACGCTATCCAGGATTTGCGGCTAGCTGAACTAGGTGTTTAATTAAATCAATTTAATAAAAGTGGAAGATGGAAAGATTAATTCAAAAATCAATGAAAAATGTTTAAAAGACACGGGACTTTCTTAAGTTAGGATTGGACACCAGATCCAAAGCACCTTAGGTTGCAGGCAGACTATGTACCTATTTTTAGTTTTTTTTTATAGGATAAGGGTGACAAACGAGGACACAGTCCACCTGAGGTAAGTGGTTGCTGTGGCCCATAGACATCTATCATCATATATATCTTCGATTAAGAATCAAAATGCAGATGCGTTGTCACCCGTGAGGACTAAGATGGAATGCCTCGTTTCCAGTAAAAAGGGTCTCCGGTTCTCTACACTCACCAAACGAAACACAGCAGCGTTAAGCTGCTATTTTACGCTGGTTTTCTGTGAGAGCGTGGTCCTTCCCCGGTCGAGTCGACCCATTCGTGCTAACCATAATATAGCTGCAGCATGGCTCTACCACGTATTTTATATGGTATCACAAAACGTGCTGGGTGGAGTATGCGAGGAAACCTATGTACCTGAGAAAATGTTAAGAGAACTTGTTCCCTTAATATTTTCTGTTGTTGTTGTGTTTTTAGCTCAAGAGCTACGAGACGACCATCATAGCTTTATATCATACCTGGGAAGAGGTTATTGGCCAGTGGTACGCCTTTTTACCTTCTTTGTTTTAAGGTTATTTGACTGTCTGATGGAAGGTCATACATACAAATTTTACGACGCGAGAAATTTTTTATGTTTTATTAATCACAAGTGCGTGTTGTGAGTTTCGAAACAATTAAAATAAAGCGGGAGGTGCTCTTCAAACTAGGTAGGTAACACAAATTATTTTATTTTATTGAGCGGATATAGGCAAAGTAATTTTTACTAACCTTAATACGTGTATAATAGATTTCCGCAAAGTAACGCGTTTTATTAATAATCTCAATGTTGTCTAGTCACATTAAAAACTTTATCACCAATTTTCCCACCCTAAGAGTGTAATTTTTTCTCCATTTTGTATGGGACCACCCATGAGGATAACCTATTTAAAAAAAATGTTAAAAACGACGCGCTGATTTGGTATAAATAACGCGCTTGGTTTGCCATAACCATGAAGTCTTTCTGGCTTTTTCGATGGTCGTGTCTTACGAAACAAGTTGTAGCGATGAGAATTCCCTTATGCCCTAATAACGCACCCAGTGGTGCAGTCACTAATAAATAAAGGCAACAGTTATACGACCCACCTCTGAACACAAGCTTCTTCTCATTTCTGGATTGCGCTAGCGTGTGCGGACTTTACATGTCCTCCAAAAGTGTTATTTTATAATATGCTTGCTGATTTCTTGGGTTAGGCTATAGATTACCATGAAATTTATGGCGAGCGCTTAGTCTTTGAATTACTATCTATATATTTATTTCCTTTTATATATTATAGACAATATACCAAAAGCATTCATAGATGTTTATACCACTGTTATTCTGAGAAAAAAAATCGGACTGCTTTCATCTCTACTTTGAAGTACAGCGGTAAATAGCGAAGACAAAGGCAATTTATAAAACCATGAGGTAATAAATGAAGCAGGCAAAGGGACACACAAATCAAACGGTCATTGCGGTAACATTTTTTTTTCTTAAAACCAGGTAGAGACTTGGCGCGAGCCGCTTTTTGTTGGCAAAAATTTTCGAATACGGTCCATTGTCGTTAAATTCTTTTTAGCGGTCGTTAAACAATAAAATTAGAGTTGGACTTGTTTATAATCAGCTTAAAACAATTTTGAGCAATTTAAGAGATTTAACGTTATAAAGATGCTTCAAGTAGAATTTAATCATCAGCAAATGAGTTAGTTTATTGTACCAATTCCTTCGTTATTTTTTAAATAGAATACGGGTGACAAACGACCACACAGTTCATCTGATGGTAAGTGGATGCTGGGGCCCATAGACATCTAACATCGATTAAGAATCAAATGTAGATATGAGTAATATGAATTGTCATCCCTAAGGACTAAGATAGAATGCTTGTTTCTCTTTCCAGTAATAAGGGTCTCTCAGTTCTCTACAATAACCATAGACATTACAACTGCATTAAACTGCAACGTGGCTTTACCACGTATAATCGGTTGTTTATTTCGTCTACAAATTATGCAAACATAGGTTTACTGTGTGTGGAAGTCCAAGTTATTGACGTAGACTAAACAATGGAACAATGTCAATTGATATCCGACTAGAATAATCGCACGCGTGCACAAATTACTTCTAAGGCTTGCCACGTGTTATTCGTCTTCTGTAAAGGAAAAGGTTATCAATTGTTCTGTATTTTTAGTTCAAAATAAAAATGTATGTTTTTTTTATAGAATAAGGATGACAAGCGAGCACACAGTCCACCTGATGTGATGGTAAGTGGTTGCTATGGCCCATAGAGATCTACACCTATCCCCGTTTGCGATTCAAAATGTAGGCGGGCACGACGCGTTCCAACACACACCGTGTACACACCGTACACCCCCGTGCCTGGGCGGTTCTCACCGCCCAGAACATCGACCGATACGAGCTAAGCAGTCAGAGGCAGGGGTTCGCACTCCCCCCCTCGGACAGCGGTTAAATAGCTCAAAATAAACCTCTACGGAGGGGACATGATGATTGGTAACAATACCAATTCATAAACCATCATCATCCTCATCCTCAGCATTTTCACTTTTAAAATAGCTCGCAGCCTTTCAGGCCGCGAGTCCTGTGTCCGATGAAGCTGTAAGAGCCGCATAGGCTACCAGCGTAAACATCACAGAAAATAGATTAAAAATGCAGATTCAGCCACTAGGACGAATATGGATGGCTCTTTTTCAGTAAAAAGTATAGGTACTGTGAGAGCGTGGCCCTTCCCCGGTCGAGCCGATCCTGGCTCAACCTGGAGCATGGCTCTATAACGCTTAAACTTACTGGGTACTTGGTTTCCTTTTTTAGTTTTAAATTACATTATTTAAAAAAAAATATGAATGAGATGTTTATTTCACTCCAAAAGCAACATGACTTTATTTTAGTAGTAAGTACATTGCCCAATTGATCGTTGATAGTAAGTGGATGATGTAGCTAAAAGTAAATAAAAGCGTATATACGTCCCACTGCTGGGCACAGGCATCTTCTTGTTTCTTTCTATGAAGGATAATAGTAGTATCCGTCGCGCTACCCCAATTCAGGTAGGATAAATTCACACGATGTCTTTAAAGTAGTTTTAATAATCGTGAGGGACATGCAGGTTTCTTCACGACGACTTTTTCACCGCCTAGGACTTGGTTAATCGGTAATTAAAACTGAAATTAACAAATTCGTTGGTGACGACGGGGATCGAACCTGACTTGTTCGCCTACTGTGAATTTTACGATGGCCCAAAATCACATTGCTTCAATCAAGACAAAAAAGGAAGATGTTATTAAGAATCCAAATGCATAGCCCTGAATACTAAGATATAGTGTATCGTATGTAATGTAAGTTTATAGTAAAAAAGGGTGTCCGGTTCTCCTCACTCATCATACGCGAAACAGAAATTTTGTAAAACACATTGCTACAGAAACTTTCATTTTACAGCTCATAAAAGTATTTCAATTCATTATGAGTGGTTTGTGGCTAAAGATAATTGTTAAAGAATGTCAACCGAGATGTTATATAACCCACGACTTTTTCTGCCACCAGGGCGGCTCCACTTAAAGTGAGGTGTAATATTTGACAGATGTCATAGCGGGAAAGTTAATTTGTTCCAATAATGTAAAGGATAATGTTTCTTTCTGTACTATTAGTATATGTAATATTTTATATTCATTAATTTAAAAAATAAATAAACTAAACTACAAATATTCATAAAAGAAGAAAAATTAAAAAAAAATCGTAATAATTCTATGTTGTGTATTCTATAATCTACTCTGGAATCTAGAAACTGACTGATTGACTTTTACTGAAAACTCCTCAATTAAGTGACATTGTGCAACGAAAAACTTCACCACAGTGTAAACTAGCGACATCTGGTGAGCGCAAGATTGTTAGCCCTCTTTACTAGCGGCATGGTAGCGTCGTGACTTTTAGCTTCGCGCTGACCTTAGAGATGGGGACCTATTTAGTTGAACTTATTACATAATTATTTCAATAAATTATTATAGAGTCAATAATGTGTTTTGCAGGATCCATGGTCATGCGAGGATAGATGTATGGCATCCTGATGTGTTACCATAATGATTTCTTATATTTACGCGAACACTACAAATCCAGCTGAAATAAAATAATCTACGATAAAATCTGTAAAATTAGTTTTATTTAATGTCCCAAGGACCGAACAATATAAAGTTATTATAGCACTATAAAAAATAAAATAATGTGCAAAAGTACGCCACAGATTTGCAGACAATAGACAAAAGATAGCGGCGGCTTATTTAAAATTCATCTTTACCTGTTTACTT